AAGATGTCTCTAAATTCTCAAATTAAAATGTATTTACCCACAGTGTTTCTTTAAACTTCATCTTTAAATTTAATCATATTATATAGGGAAAATTAGTAAATCTCAAATAATTTTTCAGGAAATGCGATTTGAACTACCTACGGCATATTTTTTAATTGATAATTGATCAAGAAATACATTTTAGGAATAAAAATCATAGGTATCCAGGCTTTTAAAGAAAATTGCATGAATTTTACACTTATTTGGTACTTTACTTTCTCCTACTTACTTCCATCATTTCATAATGCATAGCGTATGAAGTGTTTCCTTTCAAGGAAAACACCGAAAATCACTTCTAATTTCAAATCATGCTAATAAACATTGGCAACGAAGGCTAAATTTAAAAAAATTGAATTTTTTAAAATATGCAAGTTATACTTAATTTTATGAGGTACAAATGTCAACTTTTTTAATAACGTTTGTTAAAACTTTAAAGAACATTGAATCATACGTAGAGGCATAAAATGAGAATTGTTGCATGAAAAAAATTCAATTTAAAGCTTTATTTTAGGACTTTTTGAATTAAATTATAAATTAAAGAGTTATCCTACCTGGCTGAGGATCGTATATCCTTAATGTACATACTGTAGTATCTAACATATATCCGATATAAAGTGTAGAAACTTTACTCTATCCCAGTTCGATGGATGAATGTACTTGATGTATTCATTGGAAAAAATAAGATGTTCCTGACTCATATTACTGGAATGATTCATCCCTTTTGTAGTCAAAGATATTGAATTACAATACATATATTTCAGGTCGAGGGAATTCCGAAGTTTGTAGCGAGTTTAACTTCTCTTGTGACCCCGAGGCTGCTAGGATCGTCTTAACACAACTAGGGTGTCCCATCACTGTGGTCGGCATGGAAGTCTGCTATGACAACGCTATCGCCTGGGTAACGGTTGCCATGGATATATGTAACATTATTTTACTGATGTACTGAGACAAAATACTAGTAATAAGAAGATGATAACGATTTTTTTTCTTTCAGGGAGATTATGATTCATTACGGAAGACGCCCTCTAAAATTAACAATTTCCTGAAACGTATAGAAAAGAAGCCTTTTGAAAAATATAGAACTAATCAAATAGAATGGCCTCGATACATACCATGTGACGAATTCGCAATGGCTGTGGTAATTGACGAATCGGCAATCGTAAAAGAATCTAAGGAAGTGTTTGCAACAGTAGAAGTGAAAGGTGAATACACGTACGGAATGATGGTGGTCGACTGGTCAAAGATTTTAAAGAGGTCAAATAATGTGAGAATTATAACTAAAGTTGACAACAAAGAATTCCTGAAAATGTTGTACCGACCTGTCAATTGGAAGTAACAATTGGTATTGAGAATGTTGTAATTACCACAAGAATAAATTCCCTTTTTCAACAAGTTTTGGTAATATCGAAAATTCAGAATAAATGGTTATTCAATAAAAGTATATAATTTCTTAAAAATGTTTGAACATTTTATTTCAAATAGCATGAAACAGATTTGAAGAAATTCTTTCATAATTTGGCACCAAGAAAACAAGCACTGCATACAAAGACGGGTTACTTGGGGACTTTTCATGTAATCAGATGCCGAGGATGGTTTCATCCCCGGCTTATGGAAAGAGTACGTAAGTGTTTTTAGCTGAACAGTTCCTCAGCCCGGGTAGTAACCGTACTGCGGCGCGTGGATCACACAAAACTTCCCTATCGACATCTTCCGACATCTTGTATTGTTTGGCCCTGGAAAAAAAGAGAATTTTATGTCTTAATACTACTGTATCATAATCATGTATTCTAAAAATCACAAAATTTTAATAGATAAATTGAACGTATGTTGATTTACTTGAAAAGGGTGAAGATCTAAAGTTATCGATCTAAAACAATCCATTGATGAATCAAAGTGAAGAGGACTCAAACACGGACATCCAGAAACTCCAGATTTAAGATCAGGTGCCAGGGAGGAGAAAACATCCCCCTTCGACCGGTAACACCCGTATATATATATATCGACAGTCGGAACATTCCGTAGTCAAATTCACTATGCTAGTATAAAGAAAGGTCTATCGATCGGCATGAAACGTCAAGTCAACCAAAATATGCCCCGATGGTAGGTAATACCCCCTGGTATTTGATAACAATGTCATTATGAAGACCACAGAATTTATGAAAATATAACTTTATGCATGATTGATGAAATCATGTAACATCAACTTGTCTGTCCGTAGCTTGTCTTGTTTGTATCGAATAAGTTGGAAGATCTAAACACCACAAAAATGTCTACGGTGTGACCTGTCGACTCCTCCGTGACACCTGATATCACAGCTCTGATGTTTTAGAAGTCCTTGTTGGCGCTGCTCCTTATTGGTATTGTTTCGACGGATCTTTAGGCTTGATTACTGTTTGTTATCTCCATCAGTTTCACCAAAAGGAGAAATGTTAGACTTTTACTCGGCATTATCGATTGTTGAGTAGTGAAGGATCTTTCTCGTGCTAACGCCTACCATGACTGGAAGCCTTAACTCCTTCCAAATTTTTGACCAATGTTGAAGTTTTTGTGACAAACAAACTGACACAAGAGCAGTCAGAAAAAAGAAATCTTCTTTTTTCACGAAGTCAGAGGTCAGAGTACATAAAAGATATCTTACAACAGCAAAGCCATTTTTTCTTTAATTGCTATAACTACTAATGAAGACCTACTTTTTGGGCAACATATGTTGTATTTTGTGTTGCAACTGTAATTTCCACGACAAGTCCCCATGCTACACTTCAACAAGCCATTGTTCATACGTTGCTGAGGAGGACCGAATGAACATGCAGTGGGAGGGATGAACATTCTGCCGGCCTTGAACCCTGAAAAAAGTAATTATTTATTATTTCCATTTTCAACTTTATTTTTTGATGAAGTTGTGTACATGTTTATAACGCGTAAAGGAATGTTTGATCACGTTGCGAGAGTAAAAGTTTCTGTTTAAAAGTTCTTACCCACCAACGACAGAGTGACATTCAGAACAATTTAACAGTTTACCATCAGTTGAAAAACTACGGCTCCTATTTTTGCACAAGGTCACAAATACATGTATGTATATGAAATGTTCCAACTTTTTGGGGGAGTACTTTTGATAAGAATTAATAGGGAAATTGCTGTGAATTTTGTCTTCTTTTGACTTTGTGTATGTTGTTCCTAAATTGTCGTCCATTCTTCGGATTCAATAGATTTTAATACAAACTATCACAGTTTCTAGGTTTTTTTTTAAAATTTATATATCGAATAAATTAACTCATTTGTTGTCATAGCAAGACTGTCAAAAATTCAGATCCAGTCGCCATGGCCATATCTTTATATTTTAAGTAACACTCACGTCCATGACGAGGTCTTTCTACCAGGAAGATATTGGCTCTGCCTCCACACGAATCTGAGACGAACCCCCCAACTTCATAAACAGCCTGATTATAATCGATTTGTCGTACTTCTGTGTACGCGAAACTATTGGAGTTTGCCTCAATAAATGGAATCTATAAAAACAAAATAACAATTAAATCTTATGACCTCTTTATGTCCTACTAATTAACTTGTATGAGAAGTCTTCTGAAAACCTACATCGGAGAATCGTGTCTTGTTCACCATCTCCTCAAATGATTTCATGAGATCCGGTTGTAATTTCCCAACATAACAGGTGTCTGCGTTGCTGCCTTGCGACACCAATCCAAATGTATTCTGTCATAATTAAAATATACAACACACATTTAAACAATTCCAGATTCATAAATGATGATTTACAGAGAGAGGTAAGATTATGTTGTGAGAATTTCACACACCCATCCGTGGTCCATCGTCAGGTAGTCCGATATAAGTGAGCTGTTTTCAGCGTCATATGTTGTAATGGTGTGGATAGATTTACTCAACAGCTCATGCTCCTCTTCCGTGGTTGTACCGTCTGGATAGTACACGCCGAATGTCAACTGTTCGAAATATATATCATTAGAAAAAAAAATCTCTCTCTCTCTCTCTCTCTCTCTCTCTCTCTCTCTCTCTCTCTCTCTCTCTCTCTCTCTCTCTCTCTCTCTCTCTCTCTCTCTCTTCCCTTTAAAAAATTAAAAGTATTTGCTTACGTAAGCAGGCGCTGGAATATTCTTTGGCCTCCGTCTTTCTTGTCTTGTATTTATTTGGAAATTGTTATCCATGTTTCTACCATTATTACTTGGTTGCTGATTAACTGGCTGCTGATTTTGCTGTTGTTGGTGTTGAAAACTTTGTCCTTGTTGATTTGAAAGGAAACCATTTACTTGCTGTTGATCTTGCATCTGTTGTGGAAATCTCGTGTTCTGCTGGTTGTTTTGCAGGCTGTTGGATTGTTGCTGCTGAACAGAATACATTTGTTGGTTTGGATTGAATTTGTTTTCTTGTTGAGGTTGGTCTGAAGGTTTCAAATGATTTTTATTTTGTGGAGAGTTTCCTTGTGTGTTTTGGTGTTCGGTTGGCTGTTGCTGTTGAATACCATTCAGGTTTTGTTGTTGTTGACCCATATGCACAGTTTGTGATTGATTGTTTTGTTGGTGAGGATTTCCAAACGAATTTTGAAACTGTTGATCAGGTTGCCTATTTTGCTGTTGAACTGATGGATTACTATCCAGCGAGTTTTGTTGCTTTCGAGGGGTTCCTCCAGTTTGCTGATGAATTGGTTGTTGGTATCGTTGATTTCCAAACAAATTTTGTTGTTGGTTTACTCTATTTTGCTGTTGATTTGGTTGTTGATTTTGTTGTATTTCAGGCAAGTTTTGTTGCTGATAACCTATTTCTCCGGTTGTCTGATCAACTACTTGCTTCTGTCGTTTATTTTGTAGATTTCCAGTTTTCTCATTTTGATATTGGTTTGGTTGTTGGCTTTGTGTTTGCCGACCAAAACTCTCGTTTTGCTGTAGACTCGATTTTTCATATTTCTGGAAAGAATTTTGCTGTCCTTGATTGAATTGCTGATTTTGATGTTGACTTGACTGTTGTTGGTTTGATAACGCTTGTTGTTGTTGACCAAAGTACTCGGTTTGTTGTCCGTTAAAATGTTGTTTTTGAACTAGAGATGGGTTTTCATTACTGATTTTATTGTTGGGAGTTTGTTGTTGATTGAAGAACGATTTCGTTTGGCTTGTTTTCTCGTTCTGTGTTTGAAATTGTCCAGGATTTGAGGAAAAATCTTGGTTATTTAACTGCGTTTCTTTATATTTTTGTGGATATGTTTGTCGTGTTTGAAAATCTTGATTCATTTGTTGTCCATTTTGTTGGTTGGATTGAATGGATTGTTGCTGATACACATCATGCTGTGTTTTAAACTGCTGGTTGTTGTTATTTTGCTGGTGCATTTGTTGGTTTTGATACTGCTGCTGTTGATTATCCATTGGCGTTTTGGTACTATAAATATACTGGTTTTCAATATTTCGGTTATCAATGCCAGCTCGCGTCCATTCGTTCGGTGCCTTCGTGGCATACATCTCTTCTATCATAAATGCATTTTGATATGTTGTCGGTACTGGTGCTTGTGTAGGAGGAATAGTAGAAGAATAGTACCATGTATTCTGATTTATCTTTCTCTCTTCATATAGCGGCATGCCACGTACGGAATTTTGTGAATTTGAATTTAGTCTGTACTGCGATGACTGTTGTGATTTGGGTGGCTGGTTGAATAAAAAATTAGGTGCAATTGTTATTTCGGACGGAGTAGTCATTTGATTAGGCTTGTGATTATAGAAAGAAGCATCTCCAAATTTTGAATATTTTACTGATTTCTGTTTATCATACAAGGGCGTTGTGATACCATTCCATCCACGGTTCTGTCCAGCTCTTGCTTTGTTTCGAGTAAAAGTATGTATCTGCTGAGAATCTGGCTTGTTTGGAGGTACATACATTGATGGAGAAGAAGTAGGATAAAAATATGGAGATGATGTGGTAATGTGTATAAAATTATTATTAGTATGTGTTACAGTGTTATCGTTAAAGCTTTGACTTCGTATGCCGTTGGGTTTATTCCAGTGGTTCTGTGTATCCCAGTTTTGTTTTTGTGAGTTATCCCTAAAACTGGAGTATACAACACTTGGATGATTAAACCTTTGTTTAGACTGAGAGTTTTTGTCTTTTCTTGTTTTCTGTGGTGAGGACTGTTGCCTGCTTTTCAGGAAAATCTTTTGAGAATTATCCTGAAACTTTGAGTACACAACACTTGGTTTTGATGGCCACTTTTGAGAAGAAAACTTCCTTTCTTTTTGCGTACCTGGAACATACATGTCAATGTTTAATAAACCTGATTTTATTCCTGATAAATTGCCTGTTCTGGTGACGCGAGGTCTCTTCCCATTATTGTTTATTCTCGAATTACTGAAGGGCTCATTTGATCCTATTAGTGTCTTTGTTTTGTCCGGCTTATTGGATCCTTGAAAACTAATTGTCAATCTATCGGGATTTTGCTGATTTTGATGCTGTAGCTGATTATTTGATCCAGAAGAAAACTCTTTGTTCCATGTTTGCTCGTTATGAAAAGACGACATTCCAGGAAGCTGTCCAGGAGAATTCTGTGGATATTGTCTTTCGACTGGAAGAGTTTCCTGGTTAATATTGTCGAAATAATAATTGTTTGAGGATTGTAGATTCTGCTGATCATACATTGCATTTGGGGGTTGTGATATTTGTGTATTTTGTTTTGGTATATTTTCCCAAGCAACATGTGTTTCTGGAACAGGTCTTTTCCATGAATTCGTGACCTGCGTCGTCGGTTTATTCGTCAACATACCTTTTCCCTGTATGGATCCTATTCCGAAAGATCGAGGTCGAATTATTTGATTCTCAGAAGGCGTTAAAGAAAATTTCTTTTTATTTTGTCGAAAAACAGGATTAAAAGACCTGCGATGTTTCATTTGTTCATGTTCATGAACTTGCTTTGGGAGGCTAAAGGTAAATATTGATGTTGACAACTCTTGTTTGGTTTTTCTTGGAACTGGAGAGCGGGGTTTTACAAATCTATCATGGTTCCTTTTGAATTGCCTATGAGGTAGTTCTCCAGTATACTCTTTTTCACTGAAAACATTTGCTGGATGATTTCTTGACAGTGAAGAAAACTGGGAAAACCTGATGTTTTCGCTTCTGTATTGAGGATTAAAGTTGGAATTTTTATTTTCCAGTGATGATATTTGTTGATTTTTTGTAGTCTTTGTTACATGTTCATTTCTAAATGTAACACTTTTTGCCTTGGGAATTGGCAGATCATGACGTTTCCCCATTGTTGACATTTGATGGCTTGTCGGTGTCTTCAAGATATCTTCCTTTATAGATAGACTATTTTTCTCTTCGAAAATTGGCTTATCATTTGGCTTTTCGCCGTTGTGCACTTGGTCGTACTTTATCGTTTCCCTAAAATGCCTTTTTGTTGATAAATCAATTTTCCTTTTGGCAATGGGCAGGCCAGGCTGGCGGTTTCCCATTATTGACATTCCAGAGTTATTTCGGTGTGTCGGGATCTTTGGAAGATGTTCTTTCATATAAAAACTACTGTTTACTTTGGACATTGATAGATTGTGATGGTTTCCTGAGTTAGGTACTTGGTGGTATTCCGTTGTACCTGATGAATGCTTTTTTGTTGGCAAATGTTTTTTCCGTTCAAAGTTAGGCATATTAGAAGAACTCGGCGTAGATGGGATGTTTTTAATTTCAGTGATTGGCACTCTAGGATGATTTTGCATTTGTGGTGTTTGTTGATCAATGTCACTTTTATTCTTTCTCATTTGCAAATTTAAGTTGGGGACATTTTGTTTTTCTGTGGCACAGTCAGATTTCTGCGATGAATTGCTATTTTTGTCTATTATTGGCTTTTTCTCTGTCTGTAGATGCTTTTTTACATAACCATCGTGTTGAGTAACGTGAACCTCAGTAACGCTTGTGTTCCCATGATCTGCAATACTATTTGTATTAATGTGGTCTGTGGTTACTTGCGTGTCGAATGATTTACGTACGGTATTTACTTTTCCATCAACATGTGATTCAATTTTTGCCTTTTTCTCATTTTTTCTGTTTTGACTATTGCTGTCGGTGATTTTGATAATGGTCCGTTTTTTGAAGCGGCTGTCAATATCAGTTTTATTTGTCCTTACCAGTCTCTGTACACCTTTGCTTGTCCGTTCTGTCGCGTCACTTGCGGTCACCATCTTTGAATTCCCTTTCCTTACAGCAGGCAATTTCTTTAACTGTTCTTTTGTTTTATTTTCATTCCCATTAACATTTTCCAGCTGTGTTTTATTTGTTGATGCCTCCCTCTGTGTGTTTTTGACATGGTTAGGTACCTGTACCTTGGACCTAATGATTTTCTGAAGACGCTCGCTAAGTGACTGAGAGATGCCTCCCCTGTAGTGTTGGAGTATGTTTTGTAGTTGTTTATCCAGGTTATTCAATGATCCATGACCGCATGCAGCGAATTCTATCAGAGTTACAACTGTCTAAAATCAAATTGAAAAATAAAATGTTTACTTGTTTCTTGTTTATAGGAATACAAAATGATAGGCAGTATTTAAGATAAAAATTTCAGATTTCATATAATAAGAACTATTCCCAACGAACGCAGGAATTCAGTATATTTGTATTTCATATAATTATTCATTTGGATATTTGGATGAGACTTTAATACTTCGTTGTAGGCAAACTTGATTAGAATTCCTATAAGATTTAAGTTTTTACATGTATTTACAAACATTGCAAACATTAACGTTTCTATATTCTTTTATTAGCCATCCCTAAGATATCCTAGCATAAATGATTGTTCTATTTTGACAAGTGGATAAGTACAAGCGACTGTAGGTGAACTCCTGTCCACTTTTATTCAGCATAAAATTAACATGCATCAGGTTCACGAAACTAATTTTATTCAAAGGGGAGTGAACACTCTGAAAGTAACATTATCTTGGCTAAGCGCGGATCCAGGAATTTTTTCCAAGGTGATGGGGAGGGGGGGGGGGGTCCACCCAAGTAAAAAAAATTCCAACGCAAGATTTTCTTGACAAGGACAAGCAAAAACATGTGAATTCATTTCCTAAACATGAAAAACCAATGTCGAGAGTGGGATGGGGTTGGGAGTAGTTGTGTGTGTTGACTTCAAAATTCAAACATATGACTTTTCATACCAATTTCACATATATCTGCATTTTCGAGAAGGGGTTTGTGTTTTCTAAGGGGTTGGGGGTGACCGTGAGGGTTCTAAAGTCTTTTTTAATTGATTTACTTAATTGATTTGTAGATCCCAGCATGTTGGAAAATTGAATTATTGATACAGATTGAGGTGTTCAATTCTATTCCAAATACACATTTCTGGCTTCCCTGCAAATTTGAACTGGTTTTGAGAAGTATTATGTGAACAATTACAAGTATATTATAAACTTTCTCATTCAGTCTTTACAAAGGTAAGTCATATACGAAAGATTTGATACCGAATTCCGTAGTCATTAGGCCTATAGTTTTTTTTTATCCTTAAATATATTTGTTTATCAGTTTTCAGTTAGAAAGTGCACAGCAGGTGCTTTTATTTGCATTTTCTGAAATATTATTCAAGATTTACTCTAATTTTCCCCATATAAATGAATAATGTGATGAAGTTTGAAGAATTACCGCCAATAAAACACATTTCTTGTTAAGTCAGAAATATATGAGTGTACCATATCGGACGACCTTAAAACAAGGGAGAGAAATTTAAAGTGAATACAGCATTTTTCAGCTTTGAATTAAAAAAAAAATCAACTTTTGATATTTCAATAAAGCCATGTGTATATGTCGTGTAAGTTTTAAACCCAACATGTTCTATATTGTTATATTTGAAGAATTTACTGATTCCAATTGTTATAGCAAAAAAAATACTCAATGTATCATTGACATTTATTTAATTCATTCTAATGTTCAAAAAAAAAAAAAGAAGTAATTATTCAAATTAAGTTTATACCATGCAATGCAATGATTTTAAATTAAAAAAAAATTCAAGTAAAGCTAAAAAATATTTAAGAGTATATAATTATTTTTTCAAAAATACGGCTCAAGTTTTAAAATTTTAAATTTTAAAAACTATTTTATCGCAATTTATAAAATCAGAGTTTTTAAATTTCACGAATTATGAATCATGATTACAACGTGTTTTTTTTTTCAAAGTTTAAAAAAGTCATAATTATAATCGCTTTAGAATCGATCCCTATTTGTTTTTTTTTTTTTTTTTAAATATTATCAATATACCGAATTGGAATAATTTGAAACAATCGATAGTTTAAATACAATAGAATCAAAAGTCATCATTATTTTGTCCTCTGATAAAAAGGATTGATAAGTTCGTGTGATAAAATACTAAATCTTACCAAAAGAAAAACTGGTACATTTTTAATCCTATATACAAGCATTTTTCAGAATAAGGGTGTGAATTCGGTCACCGTTCGGTCGTTCCCAAATCATATCGGTCATAAATATAATATAATATATGTGAGAGCTGGACATATTGAAATACGTATTAAATTTACATATACCAGGACACCGAGGGCCCCAATCAAAAGTGACCCGATAGATCCATCACGGAATGAAGGCTTTATAAGGCCTGACAGACAGGCGGACTGACTGTTAGATTCGGAATAATTATTGTGACTGACAGCTGTTAAGCGAACTGTCCATATTGTACCTATGGTTAAGCAGCATATGATATCACTTGCATGTATACATGCGTCAGTGCTTGAGCGTGCACTTGTCGAATTTTTTAAAGATATATATGAATATGTTGACAATGATGTGTAAGATGGATTCATTAACACAAAGTAAATTTTGGACAAATATTGAATCTTAAAATTAAACAAAACGGCTGTATCCCAGGCCCCTCAAAAGAATGATTCGGATTAGCAATGTTATGAAATAAATTTTATATACTTTATCATCATATGTATTCTAAAAGTGCGTCTTTTTTCTCTCTTTTGTCAAAGTTATTCAAAAATTATTATAAGATTTCAATTTTAGCATCGATTTTAGTTACATGTAAATATAAACGTCCTTGTAGTTATATGATGTTACTCAATATACATAAATATTTTTCAGCAGAGTTTATTCATTTATTTTTACTCTTTTGTTAAGGCCCCTGAACCTTTATAGCCTAGCCATTAGGGTTCGAAATACGGAACAGATAAAATACGTGCGTTTATGTACAATCTTGAAAGTGGAAATCTATCTTTTAATTGAAAAACAGAAGGATTAAGTTTTTTCCAGAAGTCGGAGGGGAGGCACAACAACTCGAACAAATATAGTAATGATTTTGACAATCAATAAGATATGTTTGTATAATACTGATGCCCCGTATGGCAGCTTATGGCAAAGAGCTTCTCATATCCAAGAGGAAGCCAGGTATATATTTTCAGAAGGAATACACCATGAAATTTGAAAGCACTACAGTTCTAACTGTTCAAAATTTATGGCCAAGGTTACAGTTTGGTAAACTGTTTAGTAAAAATGGGTCAAACTCCAAGGTCAATAGCATGCCAAGAAAACCTTAGCATTCTCTCCGTATAGCAAACTCAATAAAACCGAATTAACATTAATCTGTGATTCTTCCCCTGGGAGACGTGCGGAAGCAATTAATGTCTGCAGTTTTGAGGGAGGGATCTTAAAATTTACTGGGTTAGAATTATAGGTAGAATAATAGTTATTTAGAAGCCTTTGCAACCCCCCCCCCCCCATTGTCTTTTTCGGGTGTGGGGGGGGGGATGAAATTAATTATAGTAAAGTAATTCTTCAATAAAATAAGCTGTCTTTCGATTTTCTTTTACGTAATTCAATTTCAAAATATTTTTTCTCAGTACAAATAAATTGTCATCGGGTAGTTGTGGAAGTATACCGTCGAAATATAAATAAAAGAGTACCAAATTTCCGGAAGTTTACATCATTTCCTGGTTGATCAAGATGGAGACGAGTACTGAATGGGTAGACGTTACCCGATTGGCTATGTGTATATTTTCATTTTAAAGTGAATTTTTTCTTTTGATTGTTTATTTTTCTTATTTTCTTCAGTCCAATATTTTCTTAAAAATAAACGTATTTTGTAAATAAAGATATTTGACAGTAACTTTTTAGGGTATTTGTACTACTTCCTAGAGTAGAAATTTATTTTTTCTTTAACTAAGAAAGCTTCAAACCTAGGATCCACCCCCAGAAGTCTGCTGCCGTAAATTGTCTTGCTGGCGTTTAGGGAATATGGGTGGTTTGCATCAATTACACTTTTATTGACTCCATCGCTGTCGAAATCGGACGAGATTTCTTGGCATGGTCAAATTTGGCGGTACTCAAAGAAAGGTTTTGCTAAAAATGCGGCATACATTTTCAAGAGTTTTGAACTGATATAAAATGAAAATTCTTTAATTTTTTAAGAGAAAAAATCACGAGGAATAGTTTCGCAGGTATTATTCCAAATGTGAATCAGGAATGATGTACCGTGTGACCACACATAAAAAATGCATGTATTTCAGAAAACGTTCTTTGTTTTTAAGGAAGTCCTAAATACTGCGCACTAAAATGTTCTAATTAAAGAGTAATTTTATATAGTTAGAATGATCTTCCCATAGAAGTAAGATAGAAAAATGGTTATTTTGAGTTATTGACACAATTTGTAATACATTAAAATATTCTTAGCATTATATTAGACCAAGAATAAGTAATGAATTTATTTTTTTTTCATCTGTTTTTTCCTACGTAAGTAAAAACAGTGATTTCTGTTCACGAATAGACTATTGTCTTTGAACAATTTTCCTGTGGAAGTAAGACAGGTACCCTATGTTGAAAATTAACTAAATAGTCCTAATGAGTACACCTTTACGATATAATTTTCTTAAAGTCCAAAAAAAGCTATTTTATCCGTAAGTTTTGAAACAGTACATAGGCCTACATCTTTATTCAATTTAAACTACACAGTGGCGTAGCATCGTTTTTGAAAGTGGGGGGGCCAGGCAGAGAAAATTTTTTTTTACTTACCTGAAAAAGTTGACAAGCAAAAAAAAAAAAAAAAAAAAAAAGGTAAAAGTTGCCAAAAGTCGAAAATCCTATTTCGTGGGGGGGGGGGGGGGGGGGGGGGGGGGTTGTAGGTAGACTTTTTCTCAATGTCAACTACTTTTAGTACCAATTCTTATACTACATTTTCGGTACATTTCTAAAAGTGGGGGGGCCTACCAGGCTTTCAATTAACAATTTATACTACGCCCCTGCTACAGCATGAGTGTTAAAGGGGGTATAATACAATTTACCTTCCAATATTTTTCATCATATCATTTATTTGATCGAATAAGTTTTAGTATGCAATGACAAATCAAAATGTCGCTTATTCATTGGATTATTTTTGACCAATCAGCAGGCACTTTGCGGACGCCATTACGACCAGTGGAGAAAACAACAAGAAAGACAGGTAAAATAAAATCTCTTGCAATCATCTGCGTATGTAAGAATCACGGGCCTTATATTAAATGAAATACTTAAACCAAGCTTGTTTTATTCGAAATCATTATATATTTTGTTACATAATTTATTGCCTGGTATAGTATTATCCTTTGTCTGTTGTCGGTTAACTGAGCTGAGTAGGCTTATATGCCGTTTTGTGATTTTAAATGCAGAGTTAGTGAAACTGAAGTGATACTTATTCATTAATTACAGTAAATGAAAAAGACTAAGTCTTGGCGCTTTGTGAAATGGTAAATGTCGACAAATTTATCAAAGGGCTACACTAAACGCAAATAGACGAATTTCACATTCCAGTGAGTTATCTCCCGTTGTCGGTGTAACGCTCATTTTCCCCGGTGACCGGCCTCTTTGTCCTTTGTAAGTTACGTTTTTCTGGCTTTTTTTTTTACGATTTTGATATTTTACATGCCAGGAAATTGCCAGAACCGGCGCCATTACGAAAACTGGGAATTTTTATATACTCCAAAGGAAGTTGATTTTCTAAACTTGGGAACCGAATTAGATTTGCTGAAATCACAATTTATCAATGGCACAATACTTTTAGAACTCGCCAATAGCGATGAATAGAAATTACCACTCCACATTCCGATTTTTCAGAACTTGCACGATTTTAAAATGCACGAAATGAAAACAAATCTCGACAGTCAGATAAAATGTGTTCATCGGATTATATTATTTCATAAACGAAACAAAAAAACGATGTTGGTGAGTACTAAAGGTTTTGTACTATTGATAATATTGTGAATTCAGCATTTAATTCGGTTTACAAGTATCGAAAATCAAAGTC